AATTATTAAACATATCACTGTCCAAAAATTGATTACGTTAGCGTAAATTGCATTGCGTTCGAGTCATAAATCTGTACAATATTACTGTACTCTTCTTATTCAATTCAAATTTCCGTAATCTTTAATCTAGCCGTCCGGACCCGGCATCCATCCGAGAACCGCTCGCGAGCTGAGACACTGGTGGTTTACATACATCGGGAAAAACACAAGTAGGCGTCATGGCTAATCGAACGCTCTCGTGTAAGTTTTACTTGCATGTGTAAAGCCTGGTAAGCGAACCCAAAATCTGTCATAGAAAAAAGTTGACGATATTGCAACATTTAGCGTCCGACAAAGCACGTTTTGCACCAAGTCAAGAGAGACGGCCTGAATGTCAGCACAATGCTTCTTTTGAAATTACATGCGAGATTGAATAGGTCATTGTGGTAAATGTTGCAGATGATTCGTGACCACGTAACAGGTGATATGGATTTGAAAAAGGCATTAGTTTAATTTTACGAATCACTTGTAAACAGCCTGAAATTTAAAATACATATTTTGTTTAATACACTTATTCATTCCTAACCCTGCAGCTGTTAAGAAGTACTTGTAATGGCATATATATCAGTAATTTCACGGAGCTAAAGCTTTTACATAGTTCAAAAGTGTAGTTCCGGTGAAATGATATTTGGTTCTTTGCATTTTTTTCTTCAAAATGTCAGAGCGTATTCTTTTTATCAATGCAGTTTTTGCTCCATATTTTTGCGAATCCCTTAAATGTATAAAAAGGGACCCTTTCAATTCATTTTGTAGAGCAGCCACCTAGGCCTATAGTTTGCGAGTCACCTGATCTTACACAACCATACACAACGCATCATGAAAGCAATGATTTTCATCGCATTTTCGGCAGTTTTCCTTGTAGGACTGGGTAAGTCAAAGTTAACGTTCAGTGATCTGAGTGTGTGAGTACGTGTTCAGTTAAAACAAAACAAAACGACAAAAACAAATTTATTTTGAAAGTTAGACACAACGATTATGCAGATTGTTAAAAAAAACTTTGAAAATAATTTTAGGGCGTTGTCACGCTTGTCCACAGTACTATCACCACCTCACCCAACGGATACGGGCCGACGGGGCGATCCACTCCATTACATTTTCTCAGATATAACCGCTTGGTTTTGGTTTTGTTTTTTTGCTGGACCCGAATTGGTAAGCCTTTCGTATGGAAGTGTAGATAGGACATGGTTAAAAATAAAACTAATTCGTACGTACGAATTACTAAACCGTACGTACGAAATTCTAATTCGTACGTACGAATTACTAATTCGTACGTACGAATTACTAAACCGTACGTGTTTTTGTGGCTAGTTAATTAGTTTTTTTTCAGACACCCATTTCCGTAATCCGGTTCAAAGTTTTGATGCAGGCAGCCATAAAATGTCAGTTTCTTTATTGACTGTGAGCATCAAAGGCTCATTAACAAAGCAAAGCGTTGAGTTGTATAATGCAATAATTTGACGGTTGCACAAAGCAGTAACGTACCGGTATCGTTTACAATAATTGCCGCACCACCAAGTGACTTCGTGTCCCGTACAGCACAACTGTGGTATTCGTCACTGTTAGAGCAAATTTTGTAGAGGGGGCATTAGTTTTTCTATTGAACCGTGTGCACTTTCCCCTTCGATTTGACTAAGCACACTGCAGGCGAAGGTATAGGCCTGAGTTAAACACCTCCCACGTGTACTTTCTGAACAAGATGTGAAGTCCAGGAATTCTCACTTTATTTTACAATTCATATTGACTTTCTCGTCTCGGACATATAACTGAGCGCTCTTTTCGATTTTTTCTCTTCTATCGCTTTTCATGTGTTCCAATCTCGTGCCCGTTCAAAGACATTTTAATTATGCTATTTCTCGATGAACCCCTAAAATGCACCCAAGTAAGAAAATACAGCTTTCCCCGTGCAGTTAAGTTTCACAACCTGTTCATTCAATCAGACAAATAATATTGTGCATTTTATTTAAAGAGGTTGCAGTACATGTACTGATATGGTTTCTAATTGACAGTTTATAAGCCCCAGCGCATTTGATTGCGTTTCAACGGTCTCAAATAAGCGTATATACAGACAAACATTTTTGGAAATCAAAATTTGTTTGTTAACTTTCGATTCGTACCAAGTAAACAAGTTTGACGAACAATTTATGGATTTTATCCCTTCTCCTCCATAAATGAAACGTACACTAAGAAATTCGAATAAAGTCCCGCAACTTAAGTGTGAAACACAAAGAATGCAGAATAGTGCCATTCCTCATCTGGTACATCTGTATAACTCTAATCCCAAATGAAATGAATTGATTTTTACCTGCAAGCTTTTATTGTATTTTACAAGTTTTAACGTTATTTTAATACTACCTTTCATTTAAATAAGATAATTTGACTGCCACACATCTTGCACAATTTTTAAACTCATTTCCTATCTGGCTCATTTTTTATAATTCTAATCCTAAATGAAACTATAAATTGTTTTACCTGCAACCTTTTTTAATGTCTTTTATAAGTTTTAACGCAATTTGAATGCCCCCTTTTTAAAGTAAGATAAATTGATTGCAACACAATCTGTAACAATAATATGTATTTCTCTATATAGACAATTTTCTTTAGTTAGATCTGTATGCACAATGTTTAAACCTTTTCTAATATTAGTATTTAATGTCATATTTTGTTTTTTTAACTCGGTAGGCCTTTAACTTTTTTAAATGTGTTTTTAAAAAATGTAAATCACGTGCAATTCAGCAGTGGCTGCTATTCGTGATTTGTTAATAAACCATGTTGAATTGAATTGAATTGAATACAGGACTCCGGTCATGGACGATCCTGTCCAAATTTGCCTAAAATCGGCCAAAGCGTAAATGCCCATTGGGAGACAGAAGACCCACGTAATCTGCTTCTTACATTTTACGTGTGAATGAAGTATACCTATATATATGCTTGAACTTTCGCAAAATTGAAACGGGTGTGTTAACGCTTACCCAGTTTTAAATGAATTCAAACGGAAGTTTTGAATAACCGAAGACCAAGTTGTGAAACTGGACAGGAAAAAGTCTATTTCTGACTTGGATATGTTAGTAAAGATAATGACGGTTGATCATAATTTGTCATTGAGTTTTAAAGAAATTCATAACCGTTTAAATGACAAATTCTTTGAGTCAAGTGCGCCCAGCCCGTAAAGGCAATCCTTTCCTCGATCTTTTTCACACATTGTGTTTTCTACGGTGGCTCATATTCGCCAATTTGTTGCGCAAGTCCCTTTTCCTTATGGCGTTATATCGCCGTACTATTGCGTTATATCGCCATACTATTGCGTTATAACGCCGTAGTATTGCGTTATAACGCCGTACTATTGCGTTATAACGCTGTATTTTATTGCGTTATAACGCCGTATTTTATTGCGTTATATCGCCGTATTTTATTGCGTTATATCGCCGTACTATGGCGATATATCGCTATACTACTGCGTTATGTCGCCGTACTATGGCGTTATATCGCCGTAGTTTTGCGTTATATCGCCGTATTTAATTGCGTTATAACGTCGTTTTTCTCCGTTATACCATTTGGTTACTACGAAAGCCTACGAAAGCCCATTAGCGCCACTGGAAGTGTATATGATACAGACTATTTAATTCGTTATTACGGATTATTAATTCGTTATTACGGATTTTTTAATTCGTTATTACGGATTATTAATTCGTTATTACGGATTATTTAATTCGTTATTACGGATAATTAATTCGTTATTACGGATTATTTAATTCGTTATTACGGATTATTTAATTCGTTATCACGAAATAAATCTGGTACTCACATACGGAGAGCAACATTTGGGGAACAAATCCCCAGATTGTCTCAAAGCATAGTATCACCGACCCTGATCACAGAATGGCCGGTCTTAAATTTCGCTAAATCAGACGAAGGCCCATTGGCGGCATGCGGTAAGTTTTAACAAGATCAAACCAACTAGCATTAGCTTGGAACTTGTAGATTGTGGAAAAAAATTAAGAGTGATTAGATCAGACTAATTAACTTCAAAGATGCGCAAAAAGCTCAAGGGGCATGGCCTTTACCCTCACCTTTTCTTTTTTGCTCATACCCTTGCCACACAACATATTTCATATTTCCTTATATCGTCCTTATGTACGAAAGCCCATTAGCGCCACTGCAAGTACATATGTTGCGGATTATTTAATTCGTTATTACGGATTATTATTTCGTTATTACGGATTACTAATTCGTATTTAATTCGTTATTACGGATTACTAATTCGTTATAACGGATTATTTAATTCGTTATTACGGATTATTAATTCGTTATTACGGATTATTAATTCGTTATTACGAATTACTCGTACGTTCTGAGTCATTACTCGGCAAGTATGGCACAGGAGTGCAAACGTTGTATGCAAAGATAGCGCCGCCTAGCGGCGTTATATACATAGGCCCCTGGTCACGTGCTCTCCACGTGTGAGAACATCAGACTTATTTCGTAATAACGAATTAAAAATTCCGTAATAACGAATTAAATAATCCGTAATAACGAATTAATAATCCGTAATAACGAATTAAATAATCCGTAATAACGAATTAATAATGGCGCTAATGGGCTTTCGTACTAATGGGCTTTCGCAGTGTAGCATTACAAAATGGCGACGTCACTGTTGATTTAACGCCATAGTACGGCGATATAACGCCATCGTACGGCGATATAACGCAATAAAAAACGGCGACATAACGCAATAAAATACGGCGTTATAACGCAATAAAATACGGCGTTATATCGCCATAGTACGGCGATATAACGCCATAGTACGGCGATATAACGCCATAGTACGGCGATATAACGCCATAAGAAAAAAGGACATGCGCAACAAATTGGCGAATACGAGCCACCGTAGTTTTCACATGTGGCAGAGCCCACAACACATCAATTGATTGTCAAGTATCCATTTGAACTGGTTTTCTCCTGCAGAAAGTTGCTTTGCACTACCAGAGCCGAGAGAGAAGAAAGCCCTAGAAGGTGAGCATAATAGACGCACTTAATATAGCTGGTGTCTAGGTTCATTACGATTGCTATTTTTGATTCATATAAGTTGAACGGGTATATACGCTTCTTTCAATTCAGCAAAATAAAAACTATTTTTGTAAAACGTTGAGCAAAGAAATTGAGAGCGGGTTTGAACTTGTGACCTCCGGATTGCCGTTCCGGTGCTCTACCAACTGAGCAATCCAGCCCTATGTAAACAGTTCCCCGATTTGTCAATATAATTGTTCAAGAGGCGCTAGTTAGAAGCCATAAACCAGTATGCCATGCAGCCAGGGATTACGCCCAAAGTCACGATGCAGACCTTGGGAAATAGAGACAGGATACGGCTTTTGAATTTTTCATTTTTTTTTTGTGTACACATTTTTGAAATGAACTACAAAGGAAAACTGACTAGGTAAATTATAACAATTTTTATTTTTAAATTTACACAAAACAGTACTGTTACTGTGAGTACTGTTAATAAGTTTTGGAAATACGCGTAATTATCACTTAAGTCTATAGGAGTCATGGGTCTGCACCCTTATTGTGCCACCATGAAAAGCGCCACCTATTGTCCAATGGTGCCAATATTTGTCTGCTTTTAACAGCGCCCTCATAGGAAGATGGTGTCCGGGTGGCGATTTTTTTTCCCCCAAACGACATCCGCATGGGGCGTACTCTACGACGTTTTGGACTTTACTTCTCTTAAAAACATGAGAAAAAATATAAAGTTAGAAGGTCTTTATTTGCCATTAAAAAAATCCTTCATAAAGCCTTAGATTAGAAAAGAAAGTAATTCGGGTAAAAAATGGTGATTCGAACCCATACCGCGAGGGTACCTCGCGGTACAAAATCACAATCCCATCCAATTGAGCTATCGAACTGCGCGACAAATCCTGGAAATTCATGGTTATAATACTACATGCGTACGTATCATAAAAGTATCGTAGAGGGCGCTCAACAACCATGTTTTGCGGCTGTTGTTAGGGAAAAAAATAATTCGCGTCCGGGTGACCGGTGGGAAAAAACTGTCTACCTTTTTAGTCAACACGATTTGAAAGATAGCAACATTTGCTTGGAAATATTAACAGAGCAGTATTTGCCATGCGCCCTCAATTTCATCTCTTATGAATTAAATACAGATACCCTTAGTGTTTGGAAACCACTGTGTAAGGTCCAGGTAGGGTTTTAATAATGCCGTATATCACTCTCTTCAGGGACCTTTCCCCCCATTCCTGAGGAGTCAGCATTATATCCATCATTCATAGCTGACGATTTCTTCATTTGTAACGACGGTGTGACAATTCCTGCTGAGTGGCATTGCGATGTAATTGTCGATTGCACGGACGGGGAGGACGAGACCGATTGTGGTAACTATATCAACTGCAATTTAAATATTCACCAAATATCTTTATTATACGAGTTTCATATAAGGAACGCGCTTCACGATTCCTGATTTGTCAAACCTCCATGGCATGATTCTACATGCCCACTTGTTTATAATATAATGTTTGCAGCTTTGCCCATGGATGACAGTTGCATAAACTAGGCTTACCATAACCAGTACGCAAAATCGACAGCGTCTCCACGAAGGCAACTGTCCAGCCTCTCAAATACAGGTTTCCAATACTGAAAAGCAGTGCCCCTCTTTTTGTTGATAGTTGCCCGAGACACTTTCGAATTCAGCGAAAATCGAAGCTCATCACCACGAAAAATTGCACATTCGTGGTAGCCTTGTTGCCATTTTGCAATAGGCTTGCCCGGCACTAACACTATCGTTGTGATTTTGTATTTAGGGGCGGGAATCAGATCTAGCCTATTTCTGCATATAATTTGCATACATTAGCAGGAAAGCCTCCTTCATTGTAATGTTTCAAGATTCTTTACCCGCTACCTGTCCCTACATTCAAAGTCCAAATACAGAACCAGTCTTCCTGAACGACAGGCAAATTTGAATTGGATATTATACAAACAATGAATGTTTGTGAGTGCAATGGTAAGAATAATTTCATGAGGTGACAGATGAAATGTTCCTTCGCCTCGTGGAATGGAACATTTATTCTTTCCATTGCACGAACGTGAAACATTCATAATTTGTTTTATATAACACCTGAATAAATCCTTGTCATCTGATTGGTTGACTTTTAATAGCCAATTTATTCAGGTTAAAAACTGTTTAAAAGTTCGACAAGTTCATCATATTTATATTAATAATGCAAACTGTGCAACAGGTTGAGAACATTCGTATTCAATTTATCTCGATTTAAACCAGCGCCACCACCGGCAGCAGTGACACCAGTCCGTGCAATGGAAGTTCTATTCACCGTGCAATAGAACTTCCATTGCACTGTGCGCTGCGCGCCATGCGGGCTCCGTGCGTTGGTACGAATAATTCAATGACATGTGATCAACGATCCACCAATCAAATGACGGGGATTTATTCAGGTGTTGTATCATATAGTGTGCCCGGCAGAAGGGCATATGTGCATATGCCCTTATGCAATAGCGCGTAATGACCAAAATGTTCCCAGCAAAAGGGCATATGCTGAAAACTGCCTCCATTTTAATGAGATTTAAACATTTTCGTCAGAAATTAACGTGTATAGTTGTTCCAAAACTTATGATTCATACGTGTGACAAATTTCACATTCGTACGATTTATATTACGTGTAGGAGAGCATTGGATACAAAATGCGCGCGGGGGAACAATGGGACCTTTCAATGCAATTTTCTTTAAAATGATTTTTGCGTCAGAACGCTCATATGCCCTTCTGCCGGGCACCCGACGTATTGTGCATGATTGAATGATTGGAATGTCCAATAGAATGGTTAAAGAGTGACAACAAACGGTAGATTTTTCGGTAAATCATATGGGCCTATGACTGATTTAAATAATGTTCTTATCAGGATACCCAAATAATGAATGCATGGAAAATTGGAAATAAAAAAAATCCGATACACGAAAACACTGAGAGTCCGTCTCCCACTCTTCATCATGGTGCCCCCTTTCTTACATCCAATTTTTAAAATGCATTTCTGAACTAAAAAATAGAAAAGAAAAAGAAAAAATAGAAGAAGACAACACCCAACTGCCTAAATATAAAATATAAACCAGTGGAGTTGAACATGCTGTTAAAAGAAGTCAAACGAACGTTCTCTCTAAATTCCAAAGAGTGAAATTAGGGACTACACGTTTAGAGTGAAAATCACTCTCATTTCCGATATAGTCTGAAAAAAGAACCACTTCAGTCGAAGCTCGATGGACACCCGTTCAGTATACAGATGTACATCATTATGTATACTCGGGCTTATATCAAAACGGCACATTTTAAGCTTTTGTACTTTTTCTCCAGTTTTCATTGTTATTTAATAAATTTGGTTATGAGGAAGTCAGAAAAATATCTCAAAACTAGAGGGATATATACCTCCATACCCCCACCGGATTTACGCCCCGCAGAAAACTACATATCCACTCAACGACTGTGATTTCACCCTAATCCAGGGCAAAATGACCTCATTATGGGTCCCCCATCCTGACCATGACATCATACAGCTCACCTTCATTTAGAAATGTTATATAAGTTAAATACCTGTTGTTTTTTTATTAAATAATTATTATCCTGCCTCATTCTCTGCAAGGCTTTATCCAAATTAGGCTTGTATTTTCCGAAAGTTGCCTTTTATCCTACAGAGTCATTCTGTTCAATCACAGGGGAATATTGTACCGTTGGAAGACCATTCTTACACTATTGTTTGTTTTCATTTATAGTCAATGAGAGAGATGCCAGCCAAGACGCCCCTGACGCAAGGCGACGGGGCTACTTCGCAAAGAGATTTGCCAAAAGACAGGGTTCCGTCAACCAACAGGGCAACCCCTATGCAAAGAGATTTGCCAAAAGACAGGGTTCCGTCAACCAACAGGGCAACGTCTATGCAAAGAGATTTGCCAAAAGACAGGGTTCCGTCAACCAACAGGGCAACGTCTATGCAAAGAGATTTGCCAAAAGACAGGGCGCCCCCAACTAAGAGAGATTCACCAACAGACAGCCCTTATATCAACAATCCGGAAAGTAAATCGAAACTTAAAGAACTACAACACGCCTGATCAATGAAAACGCCAACATCGATGAGTAATGTACAGTAAAAAAAAAAGAAAAAAAAAAAAAGAATTAGCTTAATAAAAACTACCGGTAATAAGTTACAGATAGAGTAGCCATCTCGTTAAAACGTAATAATTTTAAAATTACTTATATTCGCTTATAATTCCAGTTTCCTTTTGTTGCTTTGTTTAAGCCAAACAATCGTCTTATTTATCCTTTAGTCTGTTCATTTGTGGAATAATACTAATCCTCTTCCGTTCTCCCATCTCTCATTTCTATTCAAAATCATTATTTAGATTGACCGCACCCTCTTGATTGCACGCGGTCCTTAATTTTTTTTTTCTGGTGGTCGCAATTTTGGCAGTCCTCTCTCTTTGCCAGTCCTATCTTATGAAATTCAAACCAATATGAGCTCTTGGAGCAGCTTATTGCATGAACAGGGTTCCTTGCCAATTTCCTTTTAATTGTTGTGTGCGTTATACGTTTTACACTGAAGACACCTTCATCTTATAATATTTTCCTTCTTTGTATTTTCTTCTCATTACAAACGTGTTCCGCCGGTTTCAAGCCTTACTTGACTAGAAGACAATGACGTATATATACTTAAACAATCTAATTATACTCATAACTATGAAATTAATAAAACAATTTGGTGTTTGGCCATGTGATTGATTACACAGAACAAAGGATTTTTTCATTTTTCTCCTTGATTTCGGTAAATGTCAAATACGAAACCAATGTGAAAATAAAGATGTAAAAAGGGGTGTCAATATTATGTGACACTTCATCAAACTTTTTACCGCGATCGGTGAAATTGAATGAACAATACCAATCTTTTCTTTAACTTGAATGAAATGATTTGTTTGGTAAATTCTCAGCTGATGAAATGATTCTTTATGAAGATTGAATGCTGATTTATGAGGGAACATTTTTTTTCAAATTAAATTGAAATGGATTGGAAAATACAGTATTAGTTATAAAGATACGTTCCTCATAATGATCTAACATACACTTTTTATTATTATCAAGATAACCCGAGTCTATCAAAACCTATCATTATTTTTAGACACCTGACTTTGAAGACTCGGAAAACACGGTGCCTTTTGGTGGTATGCAGTAAAAACCTCACATTTTAGGCAGGCCGAATATATAATACGCAGGGAAAATCAACTTAAGAGTAACTTCTTCAGATGGGTGTAATAGTTTGACGTTGTATGTCATGCCTTATGCTGTGTTATATATGAACATCTTTACTCCTAGAAAAGTTATATCTTCCACTTAAAATAAAAGCTTCATTTATGTGCATGAAATACCATGGTTTTGAGTGCCTTAGTATAGGCCTATATGCAGTGTTTTGTCATGAAGAAGAGGAAAAACAGTATTTTGAATTAACAGCAATGACCTGAATTAACCTCTGTTTTGAAGGCTATGCTTCACTTGATCTATAGCCAGAGACAGCTCTTTATATCACTTGTTTTTGAACCTGTTGACTGTCGGATATATGGATTCATGGATTTTTATTCCAAATTCAAAAGTGGGAGGGGCTGAACCTCATTTGACCTAGGGCGCTCTTTCCCCCATTTTTTGGCTTTCTTTAAATATTCACGAAAGAAAAATGGGAGCATGGCCCCCGTTGCACATTCTGGGATGCACCAGTAGTTCCCTTCTGTCGTTAACACTTATTCAAGTGATGGTTTACAAATTTGGCGACAAATCGAAACTATTTTTTACACGTGCGATATGCAAAAATATACAAGTACTAATTTGATATTTTTCGAAGATCTTGAGTGAGATAACAAGACGTTTAAATGGCTCGGCGCTTATACACTGAATATTGAAGCCTAGACATAAAAAAGTGAGTTGAGTTTAACTATCATATTTGAATAATACACTCATGTTTTATAACATTCGACGACTTTAAGGCAAAGCGATTATAAATGGGTCAGTAAGGTCATGTGACATTGGCCCTTTGCACAGTTGGAATGAAAGAGTGTTCTGTGATGCACTACCAAGCATTATTGCGCTTAGCAACCTTCCTATAGTCTCAACGCCAAGCAGTCATGCGAAATATTTTTTTCAAGTGCAGCTTTCGCTTTTGTTTCAACACGATGCAAAGAGCTCAAAGCGTCTGGATAACTTACCTGTTATGATGTCACTCTTTGATGTCTCTTCACGTCTACAGCTATAATGATGCTTCTCAGCAAGTGTTTTGTATGCTCTCATCACCTGCATCTCCCAATCAGCAGCTTCTTCCAACTGTCTCCTCAGGGATTCATTTTCCTTTCTCAACTTTTCCAATTCTGTTTTGGAAGCAATCATTTCCTGGGCAGTGATCTTGCTTTCCCCGTCATCGTTATCATTCTCCTTGGTTGTCTGTACACCTCGTGAGTTGTACCTCACCGACTCTGCTGCTGCTTGAACGGCGCCTGGTCTGATGGCAATGAGTTGGTGGAGGTCTTTTGCGGATTTTTCAGGGGTACTGCTGCTTAATATGTTCGAGCTGTCCCTTTCTGTTTGAGTTTTTGATCTGTCCGGTCCGGATCTTTGAGATCTCTCATTTTTGGATTGGGCTATCTTCTGAATTTCCAGCGATGAGTTAGTGGTCATCAAGTCATCAAGTTGCCTGCTTCTTCGTCGTCCACAGTCTGGGCTGACAGACCCGCTAATAGTGGACATAAGGGTACGCTGCGGACTCGGTCGTCGGACTTTGATCCCTTGTATCCAGTCTTCATCTTCATTGACAATACGCCTATCTCCGTGATTTTGCTTATATTTCTTTTCCTTCTTACTTGTCAATTTCCCACGGTGCTTCTTTCGAGATGTCGTTGATGATGATGCTGTGTCCATAGCGGACTGGGACATGTCACCGGAGATGTGACGTTGTAAATGGGAAGACGATGATCTTGATGGGCAATGTGCTATGTAGGATTTCTGGAGCTGATTTGTAGCGACTGAAGCTTGTCTGATGACATGTAAAGCTGTAGTAGCTTTGCTTTCCAATGAGCTGAGTTGTTTGGCACTAAGACTGGGCTGATTTCTCCTCTTTGTTGCTGCGGACTGGCTTTTAGCAGAAACATTGTGTCTTATCACCGGGGTGCTGGTCACAGCACATACAGTTTTTTTAGTCTTCACCTCCCCCTGAGAACTACTCTTGAGATCGTCTATGATGTAATCCAAATCTTTCTTAATACCCATCTCCACAATTGACCGTTCGGATTGAGCCATCTCCTCTGATGTGTACACAACTTGCTTTTCTTTATGTCTTATGACACTCACAAAGCAAGAAGATTCTTTAGGGATTGCCACTCTTTCTCCTCTCAGCGATGGGAGTCTAAAACTGTCATTCTTTACCCTGGTCACCCCTGCTGACTACAGCCAGGCAAAGCAGTCCTTATCACGATCTGTCCATTCGATTATTAGCTCCGATTGTTAAGTTTGGCGTTGGGTGCCCGTCAAGGACCATGTTGCCACTTGATTACCTCAGTGGTTGACTTGAATGAGTACACTTTCGCTAAAACACTGTCGGGTTCCATCCAATATAATCTTAATATCTTCAAAACACAAACTTCTATGGCTATGAGTTTTTTTAACTATAAGCTTGTATATGGAACTGTTCGTAAATATGACGGTACTCACATCTGTTGTTGAATAATTCCAGCGATTTTTCAGGTTTGTTTATGCGTCCGTGTCTTGTGTTTATCATCCATAGGATCATCCTGTATTCCTCGGAAGACACAACTCTGGCGGGCATCAAGAAACTCATGATGTCAGAATCATAAGCATGCGCACATTCATTTAAACTAAAGGGTCATTGGTTGCCTACTGGTCTCATTATAACTGGACATTTGAAATCCTTTCTCTGTGAATGAGTTTTTGTTGAAGGATTCACCCGAAAGAATCGCTGACAAGGATATAGCACGGCAATTGAAAGGCCTGCCCAGACAAATCAACTGAAATCGATCCGCTGATGCGAGAGAACTGCGAGTGTTATATACGACACTATGATGATGTCACGAGCAACCTATTACAGTAATAACATTTCAAGGCCTTGAAGACCGCAGTCACAGGGGTCATTCGAAAGAATCGCAAACTAATAAAGAACAAACTTATGCATTACCAGCAACAGACACGTTTCAATTTACGATGAACTGAATTCGAAGAGTTATCCTGACTTGAATCCTGATGACCGATTAAGACTGTGCATTATGAACAGTCAACTCCGACTTTACCCGTCTGAAATATAATCTAAGGAAAAAAAGACCGTATGATGGCCGTGAAATGAGGCCTGTTCCCGATTACCATATTATACTGTCAGCCATGCTAGCTATGAAAGTCAAAGCTATATATAACTCTGAATTGAATCATGAAATGTGCCAACACATGTCGCATTCTATCTGCCAGTATAAGACTCGTGCAGATTCCCCCTGCAGAGAGACTATTGCCCAGCATCGTGCGTGGCGTAGCTTCTTTCAATGGCCACGATCAAAATGCTAATTCAATTCCATATCGGTCAGGTTTGCACGTGAGAAATACTGAAGATATGACGGATTTTTAGAATAACTTTAATGTAATCGATAAGGCTATACCCTTTCTGACAATTGTGAGAAGGATATCCATCCCCCCCCCCCAATTTTTTTTCTCGAAAAACATGTTACACGCACACAAACTCAAAGTGTAAATATTTCAAATGCGCGGGACACTTATAACACGATATAGTGTGGCTGTTCATTGCAGAAATTCTAAAAGTTATATACAACATATGGATGTTTTGCAGATATCTGTGTTGAATGTCCTGTCAGTTTTTCCCGTCGGGATCAAAAGAGGAGAGTATAGATACCGGTTGATGCATTTTGTAATCAAGATTTTCGCCTGATCAACAGTTATGTGTATTTGTCAAATTTCTCCAATTACTATTTTTCTTGACTTTTTTTTAATACCTGAAAAAAATCCAATTGACAATTTCTGTCAGCATTAAACAACACCAACAATTACCATAATCCGTCACGTTGTGGGGACTTTAAAAAACCAAGCTGTTACAAGTAGGCCCTAACTGTTATGAGTCAGTGCGTATCATCACCAAGCCTAATACCCGACAATCGGTCGCCCTTTGGACTCCATGGCATTTACAGGACTGTCAAGAATGCCAGCACGAATTATGGAATTACAAGGGAAACCTCTAGCAAAACACTGATCGAATTAATACTGGTGCGATCTTACACTTGCATCGTGATAAAATATATCGAGAGGAAAATACTAGACATTCTTCCGGGCTGCAGTCCGTGCACACGGCACTTACTGAGGTCTTATGAGTTGTTCATCAAACAGAACAGTGTTTTGTGACTATTTATGAATAGGAATATGAAGCATTGAAAAAGGCTTATGATGTGGTTGTTTGTACAACTTAGCTTTAAAAAGGTTAAATTTGTTTGGAAGTTAGATTTGTGACACCACATCACATCGCAGGAAACGATCATTTGCGTTTTTTTCTCTATGCAGGTCCTAACTTCAGCGCCTCATTTTTTCAGCGCCTCAAATTGATTGATTTTGCCATCTCACATTCTTGAAGTTGTCACTAGGGTTTATTTATGTTACACTTACCACTGTGTATGCATATTAGTTTTACGTCAATTTCATGTATACACGTAGTCCTACCCCCACATTGTTGAAAAAATTCCGAATAGGCCTATGTGTAGCGCATGAACAGTCGTATTTACACGGCTTATGGTTGTTACGAATAGCACTCCTAGTGTAGCAGACGTTGTTATTTCTAGGGATTAGTCAGCTTTTCACGTGCGGTAATTGATCTAATTTGGTCAATAATTCTATCAATAATGAATGAGCTCACCATCGCCTTTTATAATTTTCACACACGAGTGTTGGTGCGTGGAAAACACAATACACGGACGGCGGATTTGAGAGGCTTGGAGATTTGGGACACAATAGTGTGCATTCATTATTTCTGGATGAATGTTAGCCATATACGTCGAGTGCGGCTGTCATCCATATAAAAATCGAATTGGGAGATCGCTAAAGATGTTCACCTACAACGCGATAACTGAGTTATATTGAGACAGTCCGTCACATTGTCAGAAGTCAAGAAATTGTCTGAAGTTTAGTTAGCAACGTTTGCCCATCTTGACATGCAACATATCCAACTGCATGGACATCGCGCAGGCACTGTGGTGCGGCGTACTTTATGGGCATACGTTCAACTAATGCGTACCACATTGCTATTACATTTTACAGCATTTGTAAACATCAGA